AATTCAAGCCTTGCCTAAATATTCCATCAAGAACATACCATTTCAAATCAAAGATGAAAGCTGCACTAATTCAGACCAAGGTACAGAAGATGTGAGGAGAGTGGCACAGGTAGGTTTTATTTTCTGTTCAGGTGTGAGAATAGATGAATAGATAGATAGGCAGATAGAGAGTCCAAGGCCTAGCTAATAAGTTACCCCTTTTACGAAAAGCAAAGCAGATTACTGCTTCTATTTTAGGCTGCTGAAAAGAATAATCAGTCAAAACCCAGCAATCATCTGACACACATCTGAAGACGAACTTATCCCTTTCCCATCTTAACCTCCCTCAGTAGCTTTTGGATGAGAAACAAGATTTATAATATGAAGGCTCCTCGTTCTTCAGAGATGTCTATTAACATGGATAAAACCCAATTTAAAATTTTTGTGCATGTGGGTGGGTTGGACTGGGGAAGCTGAAATAAATATTCTTCCATTTCTTTCCAAGAGCTAAAGGGACTACATGCATCTGGTACTCATATTTCTATTCTCTTGTATTACAGCAGCAAGTCTCCTCTTTCAGGTCACGTCTCCCACATAAAAGTGCTAAACTAATGCCGTTTAATGACAAATTAATGTCCATGAATAAAAAATACACCTCTAATAGCATAGAGTAATTTGCCATTACAATATCATCATTGGACATGCCCCTGGTTTAATACGATGTATTTAATTCATAACTTAATGAGTGATATATAAAAAGAGAGAGATGAACCCTGCAATTACATTTATGTGAGTCTGTCACCTTATTTGTAAAACCTTAGAGTCATTTACATTCAAATTAGAACAAATGAGTGATTTCACAAAGTGCAATGATAAATGACCATTGCTGCACAAGACGGGGCTGTATTTCCTGTGAAACCCTTAACAGTTTCCCATTATTTGTTAAAAATTACAATGCATATTGCCCAGTGTTGTGTGAATAATGACTTTTTTACTGATTAGGTCACAAGACTAATATGGAGCAAAATAAATAATTTCTTTTCATTCTTTTTTTTCCTTTTCTTTCCCATGCTCTAATTCATTCACACTAGTGGACTCACACTGCCACCTACTGCCTAGTAGTGAGTATTGTGGGAATTTATTCCAATGAGTTTAAAAGCAAAATGCTCAAACGTTTATGATACCTAGTTTGTCGCTTTATACTCTAATGCTTTGTCATGATCAAAACATAATGGTTGACAGTTATGAGATACTTACTATGTGCACAAACCAGCCAATTGTATCAATCTATCAATTAAATGCTAGACTGTGTGAATATGTATATTGTACACTTCATTACCATTAAGTACTCATCTAGATAAAGACACCCAGAAACAATCATCTCAGGTGAGGGTCCAAATCATGTTTCACCATTTAATGAGCCAAACCACCATCACAGATCAAACATCATAGACAAGACAGTGCCTTCCAATGACTTCCCTCTCTCCTTTAATTTCTTTTCACTAATGGCAGACATGGAAGGAAATAGTGCATAGTGCAAGTAAATTGTGCCACTTGAAGAAATTGCTTCAAGGCAAGATCTACCCTGAAGATACTATCTGACCTAAAGCTCTAAGGTCAGCACTATTCAGTTGGCCACAGTTCGTAGGTTCATGCATTAAATTGTTGCAACAGGATTTTTCTGTTGCTGTTCTTCTTAAATCATTGTTCCTGAATTCTAAATTCTAAAGAATTGTTTTATTTCTTGTTGTAAGACAGCTTGAAAACTGTTATACAGAGCTATAAATAATTTTAAACAACTAAATTAAATTAAATTAAATTAAATTAAATTAAAAAACACTTTTTCCAGTTACAGCCACCACTGGATGATAGCCATAATTTTATAATTAGCCCTGAAATGACAGGATGCTGGCCATATTCAAACATCAACACAAAGCACAGTTTGCATGTTGATCATGACTTTTGCAAGCTTGCATACCTCCCTCTTCCCTTCTTCTCATTTGACACGGCTTCAAGGAATAATCCAGAAGCTGCCACTTCCAATTTCAATTAGGTACAATTTTAATCATCTGAACCCCAAACTACTGTTAATGTTAATGACAGTTTCTTTAAACAAGCGAGTTGTCATAATCCATGGCTTGTTTCAAACTAACTATAATTTAAACTTGAACCTTGGTTATATTCTAATGAGAAGAAGGGACTCAGTGGAGAAGACCCTGATGCTGGAAACGGCTGACGGCAAAAGGAGAAGGGGATGGCAGAGGTTGAGGTGGCTAGATGAGGTCACTGGGGCAGTGGGTGCTGGTTTGGTGGACTCTGGACGATGGTGAAAGACAGGAGAGCCTAGAGGAATGTTGTCCATGGGGTTGTAATGGTCAGGCACAACTTTGTGACTAAACAACAACAACAATGGTTATATTAGCCTTCCCTAACCTGGTACCCTCCAGATGTCTTGCACAGCATCTCCTGCCAATGACTATACTGGCCGGGATGAAGTGGTCCAGCACATCTGGAGGGCACTGAGTTGGGAAAGGCTGGTTTAGATTAATCATAGTTCAAAGTTCAGAAGTCCTGTGACATCCAAATATGGCCACTGAGTGATGTACAAGTATAAATAATCTCTAAAATAATCCCACTGAATAATGAATTAAACACCCAGAAAATCATATAGTACTGCCTTTGTAGGCCTCAAGTAGTTCAAAATGCAAGATGGTATCACATGTTTCAATGTTATCCCTATATGAGAATGACATACAAACAAATGCAAACAAAACATCTTACACACAGAAAGCTAGCATACCTATGATAAGGCAAGACAAGAAGCTGTTCTACCTTCTCACAGGTAGAGATTTTTGGTATGAAGGACAAAAAGTAAAAACCTCAGATGACTCAAATGTATAAACTTTGCTTGGTGTCAACACTCAGTAAAGGGAAGATTTTAGGTTTTGTATGAATTAAAGGTTCATACAGGTTTTGAATGAATTAAAGATTTTGTATGAATTAAAGGTTTTGTATGAATTAGGTTTTGTATGAATTAAAAAAGAGAAAGGGAAAATTCCTTTAAAAGGTCTTACAGTGAGTTCATGTCCTGAAAAATTTACTTATGAACATAATTCTTCCCAACAATGAGGTGGGAAAAAATTAAATGGCAGTTGATAGAATAAGAAGGTTTTTGTTGGTTATGTTTGCCCACTGAATAATCATTCTAATGAATAGCCATGATTCCCAGAACATCAAATACAATCCTTTCAGTCATGGAACATAGTGGGGCATAATTAGCACAAATACATCAAGAATAGACTGGATGCACAGATTTTCTCATATTTAAGTTGCAAATCGTTCAGGACCCAGAAATCAACTTCCAACTAATATTGGTTATTTCATTATACTATACAGTATGTCAGGTTTATTGAAGCAACTGAATGCAAAAGGGGGAAAGTTTTTAAAATAAAATAAAAGTTTGAATATTGCTACCTGTAATTCCAATTTTTGAAAGCCTGAGTCCCAGTAGTCTCCACTGCAGCATCTGATCAAATTTCTATCCCCCCTTAGGAATGATTCACTAAAATGGAACTCTCTTGTATTCCACAGCTTCCAAAAATGTTTTAAATTCCTGTAAAACACCATTTTGCAATGTTGCTAGGTGCTATAAGAATGCAAATGCTAACCAAAGCTCGTCAGCCCACGTGGATGTGTGGAAAGCAGCACTGCATCTTTGATAAGATTAACGTCCTGCATGTGTTAAACTATGAATCAGCCGAACCATATAGTCTTGAGCTGTATCTTAGGCTACCCCACAGTGTCTCTTTATCAAGCCAATAAATGTTCCTGGAATGGAAAACCTTAGCAATTCTGGGTGCTTTTCCTTGGTGCCAGTCATAATTCTGATAACATAATATAAAAATAGAACAACTTTCTTTAGTTATTAGTTATTACCATGAAAGACAAAATCTCTGTATTGCAGAACAGTTCTGTGACATGTCTCTACAGGGGTTGCCACCATACATCACTCTTCTGGTTCTAAAACGCAGGATGAGTAAAAGGAAATCCCGGAAATCTTGTACTTCACTTCAGAAACCATAAAGTAAAACCAAACCCTCAGGAAGCCAACAAACTCCCATATGCTTCACTCTTCATCCCTAATTTAATTCAGTCTTGGTCTAATTCAAACATGGAACAAAAGTCAAATAATTATTGGCAGGATGGACATCATGGGGAATCCATCATGACATCCTGTGCATGTTAACTCCTACTTCCATGGCCAGCTAGTTTTGTGCAAATGTCACCACAGTAGGCACACAACTTTCAGCAAGCATTAGCAAATGCTCAAATAAGACTCAATGACTAGCCCAAAGGTACCCATGGAGTTTCCTGGTCCAGGATGGACTAGAAACCTGATCCCTGAGTCCAACCTTTTAATCACTATACTATACTATGAGGTGATGAAACAAAGAAGATGAAAATGTGTATATAAAATGTTAATACAAAGGATGAATTTTGGCTATCCCATGACAGAATATGATGACAGAGGACATTATCTGATGCATAAAATTTGCTTCCCATATTAGTAAGTTACTTTCATAAACAACATTTACATATCTATTATGCATATCTAATTATATTATATTGTGTCTACCCATCTACATTTATCTATTAGAACTTGATTCTACTTTCTCAACAATATGCTATTTCCTTTAAAATATACACTTCCTAATTTAGGAATTTATAACTGTATACTTTTATTCTAACATGTGTATTTCAGTTGTTGGAATTTTTGTTAGTCTGTCTATTAGCATTCAGGCATGGTATATGTGGATTTTAACCTATAACTATGGATTATACTATTGTAACAAAATGGAATCTAGTCATTTGACTATGTCAGTTGCATGCTCTTTTGATATGTTCTTAGGTCACATAGCTGATGGTGGCCATCCTGTCCTCACAGATGGTCCTGGGTGTAACAGAGATTTAGAAATGACATTGAGAGTAACCAGACAAAGGGAAAGGTCCCTTCTCCTTACCTGGATAAGATAGTGAGAACATAAGCTAAGCATCTCCAGCAGCTGCAGATGACTCCCTGCAGCAAGCACATCCTGGATCACTCCTGGCTCCAAAAGAACCTATATCAAAGGGAAATAAATAAAACTAGTAAGGAATCTGTCCTTAAAAGTGCTCTGAAATGTGGTATTTTACAAACCACCTTTTGTACAATATAAATTTTTTGCATTTTCTTTGAAAACTTCTACAAACTACAACTAATGTATGTTTGTTCTTTGCAATAAGAGGAAGGCAAAATCATCATTATACACATCTATTTCCAACAAAGGTTACATTCTGAGCTATAATGCCCATAAGGAACAAAGAAAACTTGTTAATAACAAGGCAGGTCACTGGTCCATATGCTTCAGTATTACCTATACCAGGAACTGGCAAAAGATAGATTTCCACATGCCTGAACTTCAACTCTGTTTTCCCATAGAGAGATCTCCAGTTCAGTAACTTTGCTTCTACAGAATTAGGGGTATCTACATAAAAGTTTTCACATTACCCTTTGCTTTGACAGGTCCAAAGTGGGCTAAAAGTAGAGTGCATCTTTGAAACACATATAGGTGCACAGTTGTCTGAACATATTTAATGTCCAGCAAGAAGGAAGAAGTTCCAAACAGCAGTCTACTTATTGTGACAGGAGAAAACAGGTACACAGAAGAAATATAGCAATGTGTTCTATACCGAATATACATACAAGCAGTGATTCATTAAAATCATATTCTGTCTAGGATACATACCCCGTCCAAAATTCAGATACAAATAACATTAAGTTTACAACAGGCACAGCCCAAGATGTCAGAGAGCACAAAATGGCCCAGCTCCATTCTATTCTATTTCACCCTACCATAAAGTGCCCTGTACTCAAGACTGCTCAAGTTGTTTTAGCATATAAGGTACAAAATCCCAGAAACACTTTTCCTATGTGGCAATAATGCTACTGCTGCTGCTGCTAATTCAGTATCTAAACATAAATATGACAATGTGCTGCCCCTCATGAACCCAAACCCAGTGCCCTTAAGTAGCAGTCTTACTGTGCCAAATACTAACAGACCTCCAAGTTCACCCTATGAGGGCATAAAGAATAACTAGAGGCCTGCAAACTTATATTCCTGAGAGAAACTGTGGCTGTGATGGGTTATTTACTTGAGTTATATTTAGATTCCCTTTTTCCCCCACAAGGAAACCAAGGCAGCTTAAATAAGCTCCCACACCCCCATTTTATCCTCCCATCCAGCTTGTGAGCTGCCGAGGCTGCCTGGCCCAAAATCACCTGGCAAGCTTCATGGCTTAGTGGCAAC